TTGTACAGGAGGTGGAGGGGAAGCAGCGGGTGGATGGGGGCTGGGCATAGCATGTGATCTGATGGCGGGATGTCACAGAAGCAGGCCGGGGACTGCAATGTATTCTGTTGGTACTGATGGCTGACCCCGCACAGCCCATCGTAGACCCCGCACAGCCCACCGTAGACCTCGCACAGCCCACCATAGACCCCGCACAGCCCACCATAGACCCCGCAGAGCCCACCATAGACCCCGCAGCCCACCCCAGAGCCCGCGCACCCCACCCCAGAGCCCGCGCAGCCCACCACAGACCCCACACCGATCCTCAAAATGAAATTCTAATGTGACATTCGTGAACGAATCTTCGTCTTTATTTCAGCAATAAGATTGTATTATATTGTATCAGGAAATATCAGCAGCTACAACGTTCCCAGCGACACTCTTAGTGCAAATGATGGGAAGATAAAGTAGTTACAGGATAAGTTCCCCTTAAAGTGTATTCCTCCGCCGAAAACAAAACAAAATAGCTGCAGATCCACCTTCATATCAAAAGTAAAGACGATAAATGTCCTCTATTAGAACCGTCCGCACCCAAAGCTGTGCTACCACCCCATGCCAGCCAGTCCTCGGCGACGGCGAAATGACACAATGTATCTAAATGTAAAATGTTCTCTTTTCTGTGTCGCATGGAGTATAAGATGGTCGCATGGAGTATAAGATGGTCGCATGGAGTATAAGATGGTCGCATGGAGTATAAGATGGTCGCATGGAGTATAAGATGGTCGCATGGAGTATAAGATGGTCGCATGGAGTATAAGATGGTCGCATGGAGTATAAGATGGTCGCATGGAGTATAAGATGGTCGCATGGAGTATAAGATGGTCGCATGGAGTATAAGATGGTCGCATGGAGTATAAGATGGTCGCATGGAGTATAAGATGGTTTTCTCTTCTTTTCCTGTCCTGAAGATACAACAGGAAGTAAGAGGGGGAGCGAAATCACTTCTTTAGACGGTTGTCAGCAAAAACAAGTGTCCACATAGGAAGATTTCCCCTCTGGTGACCATTTCACTTTCACAAGGGTCAGAGGACACATCGGGTCTATCCCCTCCCCCCACGCTCAGCAATAAAAACCTGTCGGAGGTTCTAATCCTCATCGGCCTGAACTACAAAACAAAGGATTTGGGCTTTAGATCCACTTCGTACGTCTTCCTCTCCTGTGCTCTGACCTGACGGATTGTTTCATTCGTATCGCATTGTATCCATTTTCTGATACATTCCCTGCAGTCTGTATCCATACGTCCTATGTATGTGAATGTGCGTAGCCCCGCCTCTGTCTGTCTGACCTGTTGCCTCCATCTTTCTAGGTCCATCAAGAACAGTTCTGGGTTCTGATCACGAGAACCCAGTGTTACCCAAATTATTGGTCCTAGCTGAACATTTACTCAGAACCCAATATAGACATCAGACAACCGCAGGGCCCCTTAGTTCTACTCCCTGCTGCCCCTCTACTCCCTGCTGCCCTTCTACTCCCTGCTGCCCCTCTACTCCCTGCTGCCCCTCTACTCCCTGCTACCCTTCTACTCGCTGCCGCCCTTCTACTCCCTGCCGCCCCTCTACTCCCTGCCGCCCCTCTACTCCCTGCCGCCCCCCTACTCCCTGCTGCCCCGAGGCCGGGCCTTGGTTGGCCTTGTGGGAAATCCGGCCCTGGCTGCACCCTCATGGTTCTGGTCTGGTGTTGTCTGGTGCTGCTCGGATCATTGAACCCGGGCCGAGTCTAGATGATGAAGACAAGTGGGCTGGTTGCCTCTCACTGCCCATTATTCTCATTGTAAGGCAGACGGGCTCCCCTGTCCTCGCCAAGTCTCAGCCCAGCACCACTGATAGAAGCAGCACCACCGATGGAAGCAGCACCGCAGCCAGATGCGAGGACCTCTAGGCACAGCGCTCATCTTACTCGGGCTCATTGGTGACACTTTGTATGCCCGGGGTACATTGTTGCAGTGTATCTAAACCCAAATGATAATACATTGCACCTCCAGTATATAGTATATCACATGACTGGTGACTCCTCAGATGAGGCGGCTGCTGGGAATTAGTAGTGTACAGAAGAAAGAGAACATTGTTATAAGGACATCACATTTTTGGCAGGATCAACAGGCATCTTCTGTAGTCACTGAGAATGTTATTGGCCTAAAAAAATGAAAAGGAATGCAGCCGCCACACTTCGGGACCATGAAGCTGCAATATATGACGTGTTTTGTTCTGGAGTTTAGATATTCCTTGGGTAACAGGCGTAGCCACCCTTCAAAGTGTGCGCGGGACCAATCCCTTCTATAGCAAGAGCAGAAAACTGCCTGTTTCTGGCTTTCCGTTGGGGGGGGGGATTTCCCTTCACATCCCAGAGACCAGTGGCGTAACAATCACCATAGCGACCCAGGCGGCAGCTATGGGGCCCGGGGCACAGGGGGGCCCGGCCAGGGCATCCCTCTGATACCATGCGGGCCGCCTGGGTCGCTATGGCATGTAAGGGTGCTGGCTGTCACTGGCGGCTGTGAGGAGGAACACGCCGCTATTCACATGTGCTGAGTCGGTGACAGCCAGCAGCTTCGGAGGAGGTGGCTGGGCCCGTCGTCGGCAGCGATGGGGGAGGCGGGTCTTAGCGATGGGGGAGGCGGGGCCCGCAAGCGATCGTGGAGGAGAAGGAGGCGGACAGTGGATCGAGGCAGACAGGTAAGAGGGCTTGACCGCCCACCTGAGACCCTGCAGAGCCCACCATAGAGAGTCTATGGTGGGCTCTGCAGGGTCACCCTCAGGTGGGCTGTTTGGGTTATCAGGTGGGCGTAACTAGAAATCACAGGGCCCCCCATACAAAATTTTGCTATCTGGCCCCGTGATTTCTAGTTACGCCCCTGAGGAAATCTCAATAAAGTGAAGGGAATTCCCCGTTTATAGAGTGGAAGGGTTCCCCCTTACCCCGTCACTTCCCTTCTCAGTGACCATGGTCACCAGGACAGGGGGAGGGGGCGACTCTTCCTGACGGGCTCTCGTCCTTCCTTTCTAAACCCCCAAAACAGAAACTTTAGATACACGTTATGCTCCATCACTTCCTTATTCTTAACCAGCCGCCGTGCTCCACATACATGACCATGTGCAGGGGTTGGGTGAACTTGGCATGCATGGAGCACAGGTACCTGGCACCGTTGTTGGACACCTGGTAGAAGGACAAGATCCCCGGCTCGTACTCCATGTACACACCCAGAGCTTTGACGGGGGCGCCGGTTGCCACAATCACTTCGTGGCTGTCGTGCACAGCTCTGTATTGCTTGTCATCGGTCAGCTTCAAGCACCAGGAGTCGGCGTTGAACCCCAAGGCTTCATAGTCCTCGTTCCGATAGGACACTCCAACAGCCCAGAGAGGCTTGTCGCTGGTCTCCACCTCCCAGTAGTACTGGCCGGAGGACAAGGTGGAGGCGCTGAATGCGGACCGGGGGCCGTCACCGCTCTGACCTTCCAGGGTCAGTATTAGGAACGGAGGAACGTTTTTGGCGATCTGGCTGAAGGGAAGCAGCCTGCAGGTGGCATCTTCGGTATAAAACCCGCGGGTCTTCAGCAGGAACGGGATTCTCTTTGTGAACCGGTGGATGGAGGACTGCATCAGGACCAAGTCCATCCCAACGTCCGTCTTTTTGACGTAAAAGTCGTTTTCGGCGTTGATTAGAGTTTTGGCTTTACCGGCCTCGGAAGCTTTCCTCTCCAGGACGTTCAGCGGGTCGGAGGTGCCGCGCAGGTTCTGGATTTCTCTGATCTGGTCGTTGATTTCCGATATTTGACCTTCCAATGTTTTCACCACTTGAGACACCTGGGTGAGCACCTGGTCCTCCTGCGTGGTGATTTGGCTCAGGATCTGATGCTCCACGGATTCCAACTCCTTCTTCAAGTCCCCAATCACCCCGATCACCAAGTTTCGGACCGCTTCGTTGTGGCTCTTTTGAGCCACCTTTTCCTTGTGGCTCTTGACGAGGGCGACCTTCTCCTCTGTTTCAGACCTCTTCTTGGTCAGAAGATCTTCTAGCGGCTCCAGGGCAGACTTTTCCTTCTCGGCGAGGTCGCAAAGCCTCTCGAGTTTGTGTTGCTTGTGGTCCCCGATGAGACCGCAGGAGGCGCAGACGTTGACGCCCTCCTCCGTACAGTAGTACTTAAGGACTTCCTTGTGAGTGGCGCACTTCCTGCTCTGGACTTTGGTGCTCAGGTCAATGAGAACATGCCCAGCAGAGTCTTTGTGCTTCTTGAGGTGGTCACCGCAGAGCGGCGTCTCGCAGTCCAGGCACAGCTTTTCGGCGGTCTCCTCGCAGTAGGAGCACCCGCCTTGGTCCTTTGCCGACTTCGATTTGGCGGAGGTCAGGTGCTCTATGAGGCTGCACATCTTGGTGTTCCTGTTGAGCTCCATTTGTGGAGGCAACCGGCGCCTGCACTCCGGACAGGACCGCTGATCGCTGGTCTGAAAGGTCTTCTGGATGCACTGCTTGCAGAACGTGTGTCCGCAGGGCAAGGTGGTGGGCTCGGAGTAGATGTTGAGGCAGATGCAGCATTTCAGTTCCTGCTGGAGAGCCGCTGCCGCTGCCATCTTCAATCTCGGAGAATAGGAAACGAAACTTATCCGGGCAACTTATTGACTATCCAGAGGCGGGGGAGAAACTAGTTCTTCCACATAACTGTGCCTGAGAGAGTTATAGGAGGAGGGGAGAAGCCTCTGGAGGAAATGTCCTCTCTAACATGCCGAGCATAGAATACGCCGGTTAGACCGGCGGAGACTTCCACATATTGGAGCCGAGATCTTCAGAATGAAACTGTCATGCGAATGTGCGCAATGTTATTTCCATTTTACTGCAACCGTGTATCAGTTATATAAAGATGTCGTCTGACAATGTATCCTTCTTATAAATATGTACAGGTTACCTACCTCACCCCCTCCCCCCTTCATCAGGTGCCTGCCTCACCCCCCTCCCCCCTTCATCAGGTTCCCTAACTCACCCC